ACTGAATTATTATATATAATGTTAATCATTAGTTTGTTTCACAGGTGATTCTGCTGATTGTGATGAGAATACACGTCGATTCATCACTGCACCAAAAGAGATGGAAGCACTGACGGGATCTTGTTTGCAAATTCAGTGTAACTTCAGAGTTAAATCAGGAGAGAAATTCAACAGCACAACAACAACCTTTGGAGTGTGGATTAAAACTTAATTTTACTTTACTTTTAAAAGATCCAAGTAAGATGATTACAAATGAGAAGTTCAATAGGGAAATGTTCATGGAACTGCTAACATTCAGAAACATCAGAAAAATGACCCTAAGCCCCAAAACATTATTTACAGCTTTAATGTCACTGATGGAGTTTATTAATGTGTGACCACCAATAAGCTTGGGTATCAAAATCCCTTTTATTCAGCTAAATTACTTTCAGTTTTTAGTGGTTTTAGTATAAGTGTGTGAATTATATTTTATTTGCCGTTTGCAGGAAGTAGTGATATTTGTCTCCACCTCCCAGTTCCTCCTCCTTCCTCTCACAGACCATCTTGGTTCAAAGACCTGTGACTTCTGCATTGAACTTGTCAGACAGCAGACTGCACTGAAGAAGAAACAATCACTCAATGTAAGTTATTGACACCTTCAATACTTCATTGTTTATGGATTTACGATCTTTTCTTATTGAAATATCATCATGTTACGAGATATTTCATTCTAATTTCATTTAAGTTAACCGATTGCCTGTTGTATCAATGCAGAGAGACTTTGCAAGATTTGAATAGATATTTGAGATGACGAGGAAGTAGAAACTATGAATGAGGAAAATAAATTCGGTAACCGGGTAAGTCATGTTTAAATTGTAACAACACAAATAAAGGTTTGAGATGTTCTGTATTTCTGTAAGGCAGAGCATCAGAGAACATACTGGAGTTATTCAGTGACTGTTACATAATACATTATTTGATGAGGGACATGTGGTGGAAATTAGTGACAAGATTTTGTGTGGATTTTCCACTTCTGGCTCTGGTCGATAAGTGGCGGCGTTTGCTGCTTGCAAACCTTTTTTACTGGTAAAATTGGTGCGTGCACAGCGGAATCTTCACATGGTATAATAACACCTCATTTTATAAAGGGATTCAAATACTGGTCTTACACCATCGATGGCTTCTTGTTTGAGTGGGTGTTGTTTGAGGCACGGCCTGTGATGTGATTTAGGACACACTACCATGTGGGCCTTTAATGAGGCCCACATGGTATTTGTGTGCGGCGCGGAGTGAAGACGATACTTGTGACAGCTCTGGAATCTGCCGCTACGACTGGATACAAGTCTGCGTGTCTGTGTGTTCCTCGACCAGCTCTACTGTTCTGTGTACACTTACTCTTGTGATCCATGCAGAGCGACCTACATTACCACTAGCGCTAAACCCTTTGAGGATCCTCCGCACCACGTCTGAAATCTGTAGGGCCGAGACGCTGCTGCAACATTGGACCAAAATGCTGCCGTTTCCAGTGAGATGGTTTAGTCAATGAAATGTGTGGAGTAGAACCAAAAAACACTGTTTCCTGGAGGGAGAGATACAGACACAGCAGCAGCCTCCTCTGACCAACACACACATCTCTCTTTCTCCAACTTCTGGTCATAACACACTTCTTCATATGTTCTTTAGTGGCCCTACGCTTACATGAGATGTACAAGGTAATATTTTGACACTTGTTAAACATCTGAAATAACTGGAGCTCAGCTTTGATGAAGCCATCTGATGTTGAGCTCAACAACAATGCTGAAATAACACATCAGATCCCCTCATCAGATTCACTGGGCAATTTTGTGACACTAAGAAAGTGTTTTTTGTCATTTGCTCATCAAGCAAATGCTGCTTCCCTCAATCAGACGTTTGGTGTGACGGTCTCATCCTTTTGTGCTCAGGACACTCTGCTCGCCAACGTCCTTGATCTCCACTATTGTGACACACATTTGGATCATAACTCCTGTAAATCCGCTCTGTGTTATGGGTTGATGCTGGTTGTGATAAGAATAGAGCTCTATCCATTCCTGCACCAAAAGAGATGGAAGCGCTTGTTTGCTAATTCCAGTTAACTTCAGTGTTAAACCAGAAAAGGAATTCAACAGCACAACAACAACCTTTAGAATGTGGCTTAAAAATGGCTCTTGCTTTGGCCTTTATCCAAATAATGTGATTTTCAACAGTAGCGGGACTGTTTCCAGATATCCGATGAGTTTTACGGAAATGTTCTTTTTTGCTTTCTTTATGACGGGGCTGCATGCTGAGCTGCATCCTTCTTCTCCTTTTCCCTCAGTTGTAATTTCAACTGTTCCAACTGATTCTTACACAAACTTCCCTTTGAAGGAATTCAACCTATGATTGCATTTGATTCTAACGTCCAGAATAATGTTCTGACATGAATTTACACAATGGTGGCAGGATATTAGTCTGGTGGTTTTCACCGTCTCCCCTTTACTCTGAACCTCATCTCTAGTTATCTGTTTATAGCAGCGAGTGTGCGTCCAGGAATTTTCAGGATTCACCATCAAAGTCATAACTCATAACTAAGGCAAGTGACCGTAGTTTTCTCTGTCCATTGAGTCTTCTGCATTTAACCAAAGGTGCACCAATGAATTACCAGGATTCACAGGATAAACTTGTGAAAAACGACCACAGATGACCAAGACACGTCTGTCAACAACTCTAAGTTGTTGACAGACGTACACAACTTAGACACAACTAAGTACACAACTGTAAGTTGTGAGATGAGGCCTGAAGCCCATTCGTTATGAATCTGTCTGTCCTAAAACCATTTTGGTTTTAGCCGATGATAGATATCAATCAATCAATCAACACTGATGTGTTTGTGAATCAGGTGGTGAGTGTCATGGCCGACCAGTCTGTTAGGATGGTGACAGCCATCGTGTTGCACAGTGTCTTCTTCCTCTCAGGTGAGCTTCATCTTCACTCACTTGTGTTTCACTTCAATCATTTACTGTTTGGAAAATATCATTTCAACCTAAATTCATGTGAATGTTACAATCTGTGTTTTCCTGCTGAGCTCTTTTATCACGGAGACAAAAGTGACGTAGTTATTTGGAGACAGAGACGGGTTTGGTCCCACTGGGCTCGGCCTTGTGGGGGAAAGTTGTAAAACCAAAAAGATGAATCAACACAAAAACTGTTACATTACTGCTGAAGTATATTTCTCTTGTGTTCATGTTATTGTTGTGTTTTTACACATTTTAATCACCACTGTTAATCATTAGTTTGTTTCACAGGTGATTCTGCTGATTGTGATGAGAATACACGTCGATTCATCACTGCACCAAAAGAGATGGAAGCACTGACTGGATCTTGTTTGCAAATTCCATGTAACTTCAGCATTAAATCAGGAGAGAGCAAAAAAACCTTTGGAGTGTGGATTAAAAACGACTCTCGCTTTGGCACGTTTCCAAATAATGTAATTTTCAACAGTAGTGGGACAGTTTCCAAATATCAGATGAGTTTTACTGGAGACTTGAGTCAGAAAAACTGCACCACTTTATTTTCCAGTTTAAAGACAACATACACAGACACATACTACTTCAGGGTTGAGAACCGGCCATTTCTAGCAACAGCTGTTTGTGATCCTCTTCAAATAACAGTTAAAGGTAAGAGACTTTTGTTTTTAATAAAACAATCTATGTTATAATTTATAATAAAAAAGAGTAAAATAATTTTTATTGTAAATGTAAAAATACACAGAAACTGACCATGGAATAAAATGTTAAGCTTTCTGTATTAAAATAGATTTTTTTTGTTTACTTTTACTAATAACCAGATGAGAATGCTGCTCGTACATGCCCACCTTTACATTTAACGGTGGAAAGATAAAGTTCAGTTATTCCGACTTGACAACAATAATTATTGAGACTTTAAATTTTAATTTCTCCTGTAGAGGGTCACAAGTTAAATCTGAGGGGTCATGAGGTGATTGGTGGGAAAGGAAGGGAGAAAAAACTTTCTGCTACACATATACGTTAATATTTTGGATTTTTCTCTAATCTTTGCTTCATTATAAAGTAGTGTAATTATTACCTGAAACCATGTGAGAAGTTCCGAGGAGAAATGTTGATGAATCTGCTGAAATTCAGAAACATACAAGCCTCAAACAATCAAATTATAAAAATAAAAAAAGATTTACAATCAAACATCTGATAAGTAAGTATGTAAAAGAAAAACATTTCACTCTCAAATGTAGAGAAGTACTTCTTGAGTCTACAGACTGTAGACTCAAGTCTTGTTGATCTTTTTTCAGTGTACAATCTGTATTTGATTTGAAACCACAGATTCTCCTCCAAAGCCCAGGATTGAGATCTCAGGTGATGTGAAGGAGAAGGAGTCTGTCTCTATAAGCTGCTCAGCTTCCACTCCCTGTCCACACTCTCCTCCTCAACTCACCTGGAACCTCCAACCAGACTCTCACCACATGATGGAGGAAAACACAGATCGAACTTTCACAACTAGAATCCAGAAGAGCATCACTCTGTCACATGAACATGATGGATTCATCATCAGCTGTTCTGCCAGATATCCTGTAAATGAAGGAAAAGATGTAAAGACGTCAGAGGAGAGAAAGACTCTCAGTGTTTCATGTGAGTGTTTGTTCTTTGATCCTGTCAGCATACGATGAATCATGTGTTCACACGATGTCAGCTGCATGAAGTTTTAATGTCACATGTTCCTCAGACGCTCCCAAGGACACCTCGGTGTCCATCAGTCCATCAGGTCGGGTGTCAGCAGGTAGCCGGGTGAACCTGACCTGCTCCAGCAGAGCCAAACCTCCTGTGAGCCGCTTCACCTGGTTCAAGACCAGCAGAGATGCACCGATCAAAGTATCTGAAGGAGACTTTTACAGCTTCAATGTCACTGATGGAGGAGTTTATTACTGTGTGGCCACCAATCAGCTTGGTGATCAAAAATCCTCAGAGATCCATCTGACTATAGGAGGTAACTAATAAAGGTACTTCAGTTATCAATATTGTTACATTCCCATAGTGTCTTTATTTAGTCACTTGTTTTCTTTCATCTTGTCTTGAGGTGGAGTTGATCATCTTCCATTGGGTGCAGTTCTTGGAGGAATCATTGGGATCATCGTGCTCATCAGCCTGGTTGTCTTTGTTTGGTCAGTAGCATAATTAAAGAATGTGTCTCCAATGAAACGTGGTCTTTTTTTGGTATTCTGTGTATTAGACCCAACATTTTGTCTTGCAGGCGTTTGAAGGCTCCACATCCAACTGCACATCAGAGTCAGGTGAGAACACACCAAACAACTCGGTGTGGTTTTGTTATTTGGAAGCAATCGGCTTTCACAATCACTTCCTGTTTGCTTCATTTATTCTTTTATGCAGAATCAGCCTGTTGGAGAGACAGTGACAACAGAAGAAGGAGACCTCCACTATGGAGAGATTAACTTCTCGGGGCTCAGATCTGGACCGTCCTCGGTCTCGGAGCAGGACGGTGGACAGCAGGAGGACACGCTGTATGCGCAGGTCAAAGTGTCCAAGGCAGCAGACAACGTCACACGGACTGCTGACGTCCCAGAGGATCTCTACGCTCAAGTGAAGAGAAAATGAGCCGTTTCTTGTCGTCACATTTGGCTTTTATTATTAAGATGCTTTTTACATAAATAACAAGCTTCATCTGTCAGTTTATGGAGGAAAAGAATCGTGAGAAAATGTAATCTTCACTGCTCACAGTTAATTAAAGAGGAACTTCAAACCTCCACACCCTGCAGCTCAGTTGATTTCTTCATACTTTTGACACCGTAAGGTTTGTGTTTATCAGATAAAATGACAAATAAAAGTCCCACGGCTCTAAATAGAGAAGTATTCCAAAAAAAGGTGCTGTTCATATATCATGTTTTAAATTTGTTTTAAGTATTTTTTAAAAGGCTTCTTTAAACCTTATTTATTAAGCTATTCAGTTTCTTTTTTACATCTTTTGCATTAACCTCGTTTTATTGTAATATTTCTTCTTCAAAAGACAATAATTTACTGCATTTCAAGATATGTATTAATATCATGGTAATAAAAACCATATAACTTAGATGCATTCATTGGTCCATAATTTCACATATTCTGTGCAAACTTTTGAAAAACTTAAATCACAAACATTACAATCAATAGTATAATAAAATATCTTGTGCTAAAACACACTATAAAAAATGTTATGAGGGTAAATAAATGCAATAGAGGCTTCTTAGTTAGCTGCACTGGTGTAATGGATCACTGTGTCTCCCTCAGTACACTAGACTACCCTGTATGTCAATAACAGGAGATTTTTGGGGAGTGTGGTTCTGATTTTCCTCCCCATCAACAGCAGGATGCGCTCTCTTGTACTTCTCTCTCTGCGTGCACGTTGCCTTGTGGGTGGTGAGGGCTGTCAAGAAGGTCTGCTAGATGGTCTACATACAGGGTTAGGGAAAGTGACACTTTAAGTACCATGGGCAGGAGTTACGCCACATATGTCAAACTCGTGGCCCGCCGGCCAGCACGCCGATTCGTCTTTTAGAGGGAGACAGGAGCTGCTGTGAGTCAACATTCTACATGTATGGATCCGTGCACACAGGCGCTCGAGTGAGTCCATTATTTTCTCAACTTTTGGAAGAATAACGGTGATGTAAGTGTTGAAGAGCATGAGACAGATATGAATGTTCTTTGTCTCCATGTTGTCATGTCATACAGATGCTAAAGTTTGGTAAAAAGCAATTGTTTTGTTTGTTGTACTCTGTCCTAAGTGTCTTCTTAATATGATAAAATAAACATTAAAAATGAATTGATCTTGGTGTCCTGTCTCATCATTTTAATCAGGCTACACAAAACCTTTAGGTTTCATCCTGTAAACATTAGCAGCCTCTCTGTGAGAGTCGGTACAGAGAGAGAGAGGGAGAGGGTGAACATCCCCCTTATAAGGTAGTGATGTCATCAGTCACATGTGATTTCATGTCATATGAGACACAACAGCGCCTACTCCTGAACAGATACAGTTACATGCATTCACACACTTATTCATTCTCAACAGTTATTAAAGGTCTCAAGAGGAACAACAAGGTTGTGTTGATTGTGTTTTAGTGAATGGAGGCAGTGACATTCGCTTCTTTATGTGATACGTTCAACCATGTCAAAGAAATCTGACCTTCATTTTGGGACAAACCTCCGTCCTCCCTCCGGCATCTGTCTCCAGTTTTATTAGTGGGAAGTCACGTCCCAAGTCGTTGCATGGTAGACTATTAGCTTTTTATCTCTGAAATGTCTTTTCCTAACAAATTTCCCTTCATAAAAGAGGAAGATGAGACTAACTGGTTGTGATTATTTTGAAAAACAAGTTGTTCCTTACTGGCCTGGTTATTGTTTTAGTTTTTTGAGGTGGAGCTTTTCCATTTATCTGATCATCTTTGACTGAGCAGCGATTAGAACTCTCTAAAACCTGCATTTCAGTTAACAAACTATGTTGTGAAAACCAAATAGAAGCGTGATGTTTCTAAGACAAATCTCAACCTGGTCCTCAGGATTTAAGGACTGGACAGGACTTGTATAAAGATTCATGTTTACATGAATAAAACCAATAAAGTGTGATTAGGCTTCTGTGTATTGTGATGTCATGAGAGGGTTGGTCATCAATGGGAGGTACATCCCCTCCCAGTGGTTAGAGCAGGGACTACAACCCACCAGGGCATCAATTCCCAGAGTCAGCAGGGCAGACGGGTCCAAAGCTGCTGCCCAGCTGCAAATGATGATGCTGAAAGAGCAGAAAAGGAGTCGGGGGAAGAGAAGGAGGTGACGTCACGTTACAGAGGAGGAACAAGGAGTAAAACAAAGGGATTCATGTTGATTTTTTGTAAGGACTTTTTTTGTTGGAATTGAGTTCACCTGTTTTATAACGTAAGATGAATACAAGACTTTGAGTTTTCGAAGCATTGTCGTCTTTATTTTTTTCACCCACGCCTCATGATCCCGACTTCTCAAGACATCACAGTATGTAAACCCAGCCAGTGACTCCTGAAGGCACCTTAACAATCTGCATTCTGAGTCCTCAGCGACCACGGCCATGTTTCCGGTTGAACTTCCTGTCTGTGCGCTTCTACTTGTGCACTCGCTCCTCCAGCGCCTTAAGCTCCGCCTCCACCTGAGCAGGTAGATCGGCTCCAACTTGCTGGGAGAACTTGCTCAACTCCTCCGTCTCCTTCTGCCAGAAACACCTGGTACCTCGAACAGGCCCCCACATCCACATCGCTGCCCAGACCACATGAAGGTCAGATGTGCGCTTTGGTACCTTGATAGGAATAAACAATTACATGCAAATAATGCACAATTTTCATTGTTACCATTATGTTAATTCTTTCAAATTGTGACCAAACATAAGCGACTCAGGCAGGCGTGAACAACTAACACAAATCAGCCTTTAATTCACATCTGAGGAGTCAGATAACTTTATATGGAATACCTTAAACTTCAGTTGATAAATATCTTTACCTCATGATCATTTAAATGGAAGTCATAAGTAAGTAAGTTCTCAAACCCGTTTTGATTTTTAACCTGGAGCCGTCTGATGCTTTGAGTGGCTGGAGGAGCAGTGTAAAAGCCATTCCACGACTTGTATATGAACATAATGAAACTGCCTTTTTGTTGATGTAAAGGCTGAAATGCTTGTGATGATGTCAGGGGGAGGGCGTTAACTATTTAAAGGTCACCTGAGTTCAGCCAGGTGTGTTTCAGTTTTGAGAGTGGAAGCTGAAACTATTTTCAACTGGATTACGAGATGAAACAAATTTTCTTTTTGTGAGTATTATTTACGTTTCTGTTTGCTGACCGCTCAATAAAATTAACGTTGAAGTGACACTATTAAAGATGCACGTTGATTTACTGACCACTCCTACAAGTAGTGAAAATCTCCAGCTGGCTGAGGTGTTCTGGAGAGAAACCCGACATGCGCCACAGTTTCATACAAAACCAAATTCATTTTGAAGTGAAATACTTTTTAAACTCACAAAAACAGTTCAAAAAAAAAGTCAACCTCAAAAATAAAACACTGTCAAAATGCCTTCATCTAAAAATAATCCCAGAGATCTCGCGCAGCCGTAAAACCGAATAAAAGAGGTGCTCCTCTACTTAAAAAGACAAGATATAAAAGGACACTAAATCACGGCAGCACGGCGAGACGTACAGAAGGTCTCACCGCCACGAGGACGAGACGCTTACTAATTAAAAAAGTAGGCAGATATACTAAAAGTTTCTGTATAATCAAAACAAGGTTTCGTCTTGCGGTTACACAAGCACGGTGTCCTTTTGCATGATGTTTCTGGCCTTCCTATTCTGATTGTAATGAAAGTTAGATTTATAGATTAAAGTAAGATCTTTTAGCTCACCCTCTGTAACAGTCACACCACACAAGACTAAGTAAATGCTTGGCCTTCAAACAAAATCTGCTATTATTTGAGAGAAAAGCTCTGAGAGCAGCACCGGCCTCCTGCCACCGAAGATGATGGCGTCGATGGGAACGTCCTCCTCACTCTCCCACTGGGGGTCAATGACGGGACACTGAGCCGCCGGCGCACAGAAGCAGGAATTGGGGTTCTCTTTATTTCTATAGAGTGCATTTCTACAACACACCACTAGATGGCGTGTCTTCTACAGCTGTTCAGTTCACTCTTTACTAATATCGGCAAAGATAAGAAAATTAAATCAATTAATTGCTTGATAGAAGACGAATATTTCTTCGACCAGGTGTCAAGGAAAAATGTTTCCAATTGTCCAACGCATATTCATGTTATAATGAGTTTTAGAGAAATTAGGTAAGTAGGGATTTAACTATACAAATTAGGGGTCTAACGATTAATTTCAACAACGATTCGATTTGAATCACGATTCATGGTTGCCGATTCGATTCATGATCAGGGTTAATTTAGAACGATTCGATTCAGTGACTTAAAATCGATTCAGTAACTTTACTGGACAGTGCAGGCAAAGTTTCTGAGATCCCTGTTTCTTGTAAGGAAATCAGGTTTAAATGAATTATGGATATTATAAACATTACACAATAATTACACAATGTTTGGATCAATTCACAGAACCCCGGATTTTCAACCACATTGTAGGGTCGCAGGTCTTTACAGATAACTTGGCAATTGTTACTGTTATGTTGAGTTTGGTGCTGGCGAGGCCTGAGGTGTCTGCAGAGCTGGAGTTACCTGTTGCTGCTGCAGCGGTGACGCTGCTAGAGGTCCTGACTGTCGGCGTTGTTTAATCCCACGGCGCCTTAGTAGATGGCCGGAAAGATTCGTCGTGTTTCCGTGTTTTTTTTATTTGTCTTCTACATATTCTACAAACAGCGACTGACTTATTTAGAACAACTCCGTGTTTGCAAAAGCCAAAATGTTTCCACACGATGGATCGATAAGTTGGTTTGTAAATGTCTTGCTCGTAGTCGTCTCCTCCACGCTGTGTTTTGTTGTTGTTCAGAGTTTTGCGCGGCTGCCGCTGCGTACTGATGACGTCACAGACAGGCAGACTGAATCGAGTAACGTTTAACGTGTCTAAAGTGCTAAAAAAACAAACAAACAAACTCACATCCATACTGTTTTTGTGCTTAAATCCAATTAGCAGTTTCCAAGTATCGATACAAATCGATTATGTACCATTTGTAATTGATATATGTCGTCCGGAATGCCGATTTGCGGCGCACTGATCTATTCAGAATATAAATCGATTAATCAATTCAGTGGATGAATCGTTACACCCCTAATAGAAATATATCCCTGTAGATGAGTTACAATTGAAACTGGGGATGGCAAAAGGTTGAGGACAAAATAATGTCCTGGACATTGGAGACACCAGCTGTGGGACAACGGTCTCATGTTCGTGTGTGTAGACGCAAGGAGACAGAACGGGACGGCCAGCAAGATCGGGTCAGCCGACCAGACTGAGCCAGTTAGTTTAGCATCAACAACCAGATCGAGGGGAAAGTGAAGGACAAGAAGAACAGTGGGACGACAACAACAGGTGTGGTGAAACACCTCACTCTGTTATCAAAGAACCGAGGTTACGTTA